AAAAAAAAAAAAAAAAATTATCGTGTCAGTTTACGGTCATCCAACTATCTGAGATTCCCCCGCGCATTTTGCTTTTTTTTTCTTTTTTTTTTTTACATATAGAACGATCATATCAAGAAGTGACTCGAGAAATCTTTGACTAGATGGCGATCTTTTCGAAAATTGCGCGTACAATAATTCATTAAGGAATAAAACGTGTCTTATTAGTAATAATCTCATTGATCTCTATCTCTAGATATAATTGCGTAATATAACATCGGGGAACTATGTGTAGTAGAGATAATACAGAGGAACTCTTAGCTGTCGATTATAACAATAGCTAAAAGAGGGCGAGATTTTTTTTTTTTTTACTTTTCTTTCTTTGACTAGCACTACCGGTATATCGATTTAGCATTTACGAAAAGATTGCATCGAAAGAAAGTCACGCCTTATGAAATGTTTAAGGATATACTTAGGGAACAGCGCGAGAAGAATTTTTAGGAAATGGTGACACCGTGTATACCGCGTCTCCAATGAGTAACGAAATAACTGCCAAGACGAATTGAATGATTTAGAATCGCTATCGTTAAATAACATTTGTATTTTTGGAGAAAAAAAGAAAAACAGGAAAAAAGAAAAAAGAAATAAACTATTCGCTTTAAATGATTCGAATTAATTCAAGTTACGATTATTCAATAATTCAGTAGTTTCCATGATTACAGATATAAACACTGATGATTAGATCAGTCGCTACATTCAGCCTCCTAATAAAATAACATCTATAAAAAGTCTAAAAACAATCAACAAAGATGTATAAATTCACTAAAAACAAGTAAAGAGGTATAATGCCGACGAGGCCATTTTTTCCTAATGTCTCTTTTGCTCTTTTGGAACGTCTAAAAGTAACACTTTCTCGTAAGTGTTTCGCATTTCTTCCCGTTTTAATACTCAAAGTTCTAGAGCATCGCGGATTCTCTTCATCGCCAACGTAATTTCATATCGTTCAATCCAACGTGTCTGGATCTGCTGAAAGATTTAGGACACACAGAGATTAATTTGTAAAATTCGAAATCGTCAAAAAAAAAAAAAAGTAAAAAGTACTTGATTAGGCAATATTTACCTGGAGAAGGGGATCCTTTGACTCTGCAAGTATTGTAACTTCCACAATTCAAACATTTCAGACCTACAATATGGAATTTTACCGTTGACTCCTGAAAGGTTAAAAAATTTCCTTCACTCTGAGTTCTCTTTTCATTTGTTATTGTCTTTTGATTAAGTTAAATGGCATAGTATTAGGAGTATTATTATTTTATCCTTACCTCGTGACAGTCTTTGCACAGAATATCAACCTTGTAATCCCTGTACTCCTCCGGCATTGGCGTTGAAGATACTTCCATATCCAAAAATCTCCATAAATCAGTCATATCTAAAAGCGATACTTGGCAAGTTGGACACGCGTAATGTCCTGAGTGTAACAATTCCTCGAAACAAGTGCGATGAAGCAGATGACCACAGTTTGGAATGTGACAGGGTATACGACTTGTGTGAATGTCCTCCAGGCAAACTGGACAATTTGCGTGAGAAACATTTTCTACACACTGAAAATAATAAATAAAAAGTTTATACGCAATAATACGATTGTTTTATATTAAGGATTAATAGTTCAATTAAAATCTAAATAGTTGAAGTTACATCTTTCAAGAAATATTTTCGAACCTATAATACCACTAGAGTAAAATGGTAAAATTTCCTATACAGGGTGTCTCGGTATAAAGATACAAACAAGGGGATGATGAAAAAAATAAATCGAGAAAAAAGGATGAATTTCAAGAAAAGGATTTGTTTTCAAGAAAATCAAGTTTGAAATTTTATTAGCTGTCATTGAATTGAAAACTTTAGTACACCAATTTTCAAATAAACACACTCGAACTTTGTTTTCGTGAGAATGAGAAACTCTAAACCGGAAAATTTCATTTCACGTTTTTCACCTGTCTTCGCAAGTAGAACAATCGATTAATCACTTCTGCGTAATCGAGAATTCAAGTATACTTGATAAATTATTAAACTTGATATTCTCGAAAACGATGACCCGAACATTTACTCTCTGCCTTTGATATATTTTTTCACTGCCTTGTCAGTCAGTATCTTCAATCACCGGTACACCTCGTATAAATCTGCATCGGCTATTAAATTTTCTTCTTCCTATTTCCAGATATCTCGCTGATATCTTCTGTGTGTGATCTCAATCATTCCATCCCGTCTATATTAATCGATTATATTTAATGTATTACACACTAGCATCTTTTCTTCTTAGCTAATATATTACACACTAGCATCTTTTCTTCTTAGCTAATGTATAACACACGAGCATCTTTTCTTCTTAGCTCCGGGAAATTCGCAGTCAGCGTTTTGCAAGAGCAAAGAGAAATTATTTTTATATAGTTACTTCGCCTGGCAGTAAGAGAACTTTTTCGCGTTTTTCTGTTTTATCGAAGACGACGCTGTCGCAATCTGTCGTCTGCAAGCCGAACAACAGGACACCAAAAATTTAATTGACACGCGTTACGTACCGTGTGTCCGTTTTGTAACTGAACCGGCAAACACATGTTGCACTTGGCACAGTGGAAAAATCGATCGCGACCGCCGACCCTGCATATCCCGCAGCCATCGCAGTGATACTGATTCTTGTCCTCGTCGTCGAATAAGTTGCATTCGAGGCACGTATACTTGCCGAACCGGCAATGACAATTCTGGCAAGTGGCTTGCACGGGTTGACGCGTGTCGCACAGCACGCATATAAGTTCCGTCACCTCTTTTCTGTTTACTGTGTGGGTCTCCTCCTTGTCGTGGCAGAATCGGCACGTGTACACCTTGTTGCAACACGGTGTCTGGAAGACAAAAAAAAAAAGAGAAGAATTAACCTTTAATAAGGTTGGGTCGAAAGGCCCCAATACATATTGTTCAATATGACCCGAGGATCCATCAACTACACATTGGCGACTGTTTCGAGAAATATCATATTTCCAAAAGTTATAAAAAAACTGATTTCGTTTATAAAATTATAAATCAATTCTAAATATCTTGAATTTATATCTAAGTAAATTATTTTCAAGTTTTATAAACTTTCTAACTTTATAACTTAAACCTAACCTAATTTTCTGTCATCTTATGGGTCGTGAGTATTACAGAAAAAGTTCTCGACCGTTAAGGGTTGATTTATAACTTCCAATGCGACGTGTTTTTCTTTTCAAGTTTCAAATTTCCCATCGAGGTGTTCGGAGGGAGAATACATGCACGCATACGTGATGATAATTTTATCTCCGCTATTCTTCTCCAGATAACCTGATACATTCGACAAACGTTAATTATTAAAATATAGCATTCGATTTCAACGCCAAGTTGAAAAATCTTTCCTTCAATCGTGCTTCATGTTTTTTTCTTTTTAACAATTAAATTTCGTGATAGTACGTGAGGGGGAGGGGGAGAGACAGTAGGGCTAAGCTCGAATTTTCCATCAAAACGCAACGAAAATGTGGCTTCGACGATCCTTGAGCACTTCAGAAAACGAAGGCCTTAGATAATAATCCAATTAGCCCCCATATGAATCCGTCCTTGATCCCTAACCCTTTCGATGCAGCAGGCGCTTATAAGCGTTCGGCAAATCCATTCGACAGCGGACGGGTGAAGGCAGATCAGCGTGCGGTGGACATGGTGGTAACGCAATGCACCCACTGTAGGATTCCGCACGTGGTGTCTACGTTCACCGACATCGGGACAATCAATTACGCGTCGAATCAGTTAAAGAAACGTTTCAACGTTTTGTCGAGCACAATTTTTCCATCGTTGATGATTCATTTCTCAAATTTTTCCATCTAGAAACGAAGCGAAATTTTTAATCTTGGTCCGTTCATTCTCGAATCTTTCGATCTGACCTCCCCTTAATTTTTTTTTTTTT